TTGGGAATGGGCAAATGGCTTAAGGGGCTATTCGTACCCGCTGATCTTTGCGAGCATCTACAAAGCTTTACAGCTGCTGGCTAAGGATGATGTTCGGCTGCTGGTGAGTATAATCAAAAGAACACGTCCGCTACTAAAATTCAATTAAAAGGCACTGTATTTAAATTCAGTGCGGTTTTATCATTGTCCAAGTAAAACACAAACCCTTGAATCTGTCAGTTAGAGATGGTATGAGCACAGAGGCCCAACTGAAGTGTTTTGCGTGGCTGCAGAGTTCATTCGTAGCTCACCAGTCGCAGTACTGATGCCTGGGACTGCAGACGATTATTCTTGGCCTCCATCAATCTCCTTCAGTTTCATACTGATACTGTTTACCACTACATCATAATTCCTCAGTGGTTCAGTTTTCCAAAGTGTTTTAACAATATGTATTTGTATTAAACTCAGTAACAACAGCCCCTTTTGACTTCTATTGGAGACAAATGGCAAAGAATTCTGCTTTCGATTTCTGAACACTTTCAGTTGAACTTCAGAGTTTCTTTGTTTTGGCAGAAATATTAGTCTTGCCAAAGGACCTTACTATTATTTCTTAAATCATAAAAAGCTACAGAGAACATTCACTAATTCACTTACTATTTTCGTGTCTGAACAGCCATTCACTAACTCAGTAGTCCTCTCTCCGAACCTGGAATTTAACAGGTTTGTTCCAAGTAAAATTTTCTCTCTGCTTACACAGATATGGGTCCCTAGACTTGCACAGGCAGTGCTGGCAGCTTTTGCTGATGTGAAGCTTTACTCATTAGTGCAACACCTTGAAAATGCAGAAACAGCAAAGTGTGTGGTGAGTCTCAGCCTTTAAAAAATTTTATGCGTGTTAATAAACGCTGTCTGTTGCAATGTAAACAACAGCAAAATGATAATAGGTCACACCTTGAAGAATTATCACCATTTAAAACTACAGAATTTGTTTTAACATTTCTCCCTGTGCATCCTGTTGTTCATAATTATTTTCAGTACTTCTGCCAGCTGTGTTCCTGGTTTACATGGTATTCCTGTACCAGAACTCTAACAAACACCATGGAAACTCTTCTTACCATCTTTGCTCTTTCCTACTATCCGATAAAAGGTTCCAGGATGGGGAGCAGGTGAGAAACTTTTTACTAACACTGTTTAAAATGCTAACTTTCATCTTAAAATATAAGGCAACCCAAAACACCTTGTTCATTTAGCAAGAGCTCCAGATCTTGGAAGGAACAGCATTGTGGCATTTCCTCCTAAAACTGTTTTGAAGCCATGATATAGCTGGTATATAAAATTACTATTCTCCATTTCCCTTATGCAAAGTATCATTTTGTGGGAAACTGTAAATTAAACTTTGAAGGACTGGAATTTGTGGTAACTTGGAAAAAGATAAAAGCTTGTTTGGGTTCAGACATAGGTGAATTTGTGGTCACAACTTTCTTTACCAGCTGTCTATTTTAGAAGCACATATTTGCTTCTAGTTAGCAACTCCATTGCTAATAAAGCAATTATCTACTTGGCAGCCTTCCAAGCAAACAGAGTATCTGCACTGAGAGAATCAAAGTTATCTGCGCTATGAAAAACTCTTGGTCCGAGACACAACAGTATTTAAATTGTTGAAATGGCACTGTCTGCAAAAGAATTGACCAAACCTTTTGATAAGGTTCTGTTTTTCTTATATGTCCTCATTCTAGTTGCAAATATTTAGCTTTGATAGCACTTGCAATTGTTATTCGTCCCACTGCTGTCATCCTGTGGATACCTTTGGTCTTCAGTCATTTTTTGCAAGAACAGAAGAAAGCAGACCTTATCCTACATAACTGCATTCCTGTTGGGTAAGTTCCTTCTGAATTTAAACTATGAATGTGCACAACTATATCTTAAGATTGATTTTACCATTGCAAAGGCAGACAACCCAAAAAAGCTGATTTCATGTAAAAAAAAAAAAAAAAAAGGAAAAAAAGTAGAGTCCTTTTGCAGAAGTTTAAAGAAGGGGCATACTTCCTTTAAATTAATGTATACACTGCAAAAAAGTACTAGGAGAGATTTCATGAGGATGAGACATGAAGAGCATTCCAGCTTAATCTGGGATTTTGCCAAGGATACCATGTGATGGCAACTAGCCAAGAGTATGGATAATATCAAAAAAAGATCAGGAATAACTATTCAGGGGGGGTTGACAGCTATTTGGACAAGAGTAGAACCTGATACAAAAGCAATTCAGACAATATCAGTGCAACCAACTTTCCATTTTTGCAGATTGATCACAGTAGGAACCTCTTTAATAATTGACCGTGTGTTTTTTGGTGAGGTAAGTTGTTTTACACTTGACTTACACAAAAAAGGTTGGGTTTTAGTATTTTAACATGGACGGATGTTTCAGACTTCTCTGACTTCTGTTATTTCTGTGGCTGTGTCTGGCCTATGATCTCTAAATATATCCTAAGCCATAAACCCTTAAACACTGACTTCTCAGTTATTTTAAATGACAGACACTACTTAAAATCAGTATGCCTCACACTCAGATAGTTATCAACAAAACTTACATGCTTCTGTGTTTACTTGCTAAATATAGGAAAGTCTGCAAATATAGCAAGTCTGTGATGAGTCTTAGTAGAAAACAACTATGAAAATGCTGTATGTGTATACATATACATATGTATATATGAATGAAATGCTGTGCCATTTAAGACCAGTGATGAGACTGTAATTCAATTTAGCTGTTGTTTTTCACTTTGGATTTGTATTTAACTTTTTCTCCCTCTCCATCGCCTAAATCTCCCAGTGGGTACTGGTTCAGCTGAACTTCTTGAAATTCAACGTACTGCAGAATTTGGGAACATTTTATGGATCTCATCCTTGGCATTGGTACTTCACTCAGGGACTACCAGTCATCTTGGGTACCCATCTGCCTTTCTTTATTCATGGCTGTGTGCTGGCACCGAAGAGGTATCGCATCTTTCTAATGGCAGTGATTTGGACAGTGTTGGTATACAGGTAATTTCTCCTAAATGTAAACTATCATCTTGACTGGTTGTGTTCTTTTCAAAGCTCATGTCCTCTCTAGAACAAAAAAGCATAGTGATCAGAAAAGTGATGGAAAACTTCAAACTATTGAAATACTCCAAGAAATGCAGTCAATTATACAGTAGTTTCTAGGATTTTATGTAATGCTACTTCTTGTATCATTACCAAACATGTATTTTTAGAATTGATTAGACCCTTAAAGAATAAAATAATTCAGCATTAAATTCAATTGAGAGTGAAAGAAAAAAAACCCCACTCAGTCACCTAATAGGCATTTAAGCAACAAGAGAATTAGTTAGAAAGCTGTGTTTACTAAATCCTGTTAAAATACCATTTCATTCGGTTCTTTAATACATCCCCAGTAAGATGAGAGGTTCTTAGGCCTCTCAAACTTACTCCATTCACAAGTCTGTACAGAGCTCTTAATATTTATCATAGGACTGTACATCACATTTTAAGTTGAGAAGTAGAACAAAAGGTGAGCTTTTTCTAAAGCATCAGAATTAACCGTAGATTAAACAGGAGACACTTTCAGACAAGAAAAGATATGGCAAATTAATTAAGTAATAAATGGTATTAGACTACAAAATTGGTAGCAGAATACAGTAAAACAGTAGTGAGGCTACAAATGCCGTATCTTCTTTCAGTCCATCTCAAAACTGGATGTAGCTTCATTGGTTTTAGGCTTTTTTTAATCTCAGTCCTGTGAGAACCAGTTTGGTTCCCATGACGCAAGTATTGCAGTAATACCAAAAAAAACCCCCAAAAGTTGGCATGGGAATTGTATAAAGTTGTATTAGCAGAGGTGAATGTTACTTTGTTAGATACAAACATGTACTTGAATCTTAGCCTACCATCCACACTTCTTATTGCGCATTTTATTACAGAAAGCAAATTGGTAAAGTACTAGCTAAGTTCTATCTAGTACTCATAGAATCAGACCACTTAATTGCTAGAATAGTAGCCAGGCACTTTTATTAATGCTTGGTTCAAACTGACCAAATAATCTTAATTTGAATGTAGTCATTATGTTCTTAAGTGACAATTGCCATTTTTACTCTCAACTACCTGAATGCCAAAAGCTTTTTTAGTACATGCAAGTGCTTTTCTTCCAGTCCTCCATGCTCTAAAAAATACTTTCTCAAGGGAACTGATGCATTTAACTTCCTCGCTGAAGTGTTATATCTGTTTTATTACAGCACACTGAGCCATAAAGAATTCAGGTTCATCTATCCAGTACTGCCATTTTGCATGTTTTTTTGTGGTAAGCATTGGTTTCAAATGTCTTGCAACCTTCCCTGTATATACTTTTTACTTAGAGAGAGAGTATTAATGTAGGTATTTGACAAAGGATTCTTAGAACTAGCCTAACCTATTCTTACAGCTAGGGGAAAAAAAAGGGGGGGGTATGAGGAACAAAAAGTGACTGAAATACAGATGGAGAAGCCGTAGCATGGATAAAAGTACTTCCTGCAAAAAAAAAAAAAAAAAAAAGAAAATTGCCTTAGTGAATCCTAACTTTTTGGCAATGCCACCCTTACAGTGGGAACTTTGTTCCTTGGCTCCTTTGTAGTATTTTTCCACCCGCTTCTCTCAAATATGCCTGACATGGCTTTGAATATGTAACAAAAAAATTAAAGTATTCAAAACCTAAAATTATCCTTTTCTAGATTCAGTTGTGTTAATAGATGATGCTTGTTTTCTGTCTGCTCTTAAGCAACCACCAGCTTCCCAGAGAAGTTTTAAAGCTGTTAATGTGATAGCTTTTTCTTCAGGCATAGTAAGGTGAATTGGTTAAAACAGGGATAAAGTCCCTAAAGTAATGTGGTTAACTTAAAGAGAGTCTGTCCACAGTTTAAACTGGAAAGCATATTGCATTTGTAACTAAGATTTTTCTGATACTTTAACAGAAAATTTTAAAGTATTCATTTATCTTTCTTCCTGTTTTCTCTGTTTTTTAATTTAAACACAGAAGAGAGGCTAATAAGGAAGTATTTTATATTTTACAAAACTAGGTATTAACAACACTAATGTATCTATAGGAAAACTAAAATCATGATGTAAAGCCTAGTATGCTGAAAAGGTAGAGAGGAAAGGTTAAAACTTCTAGAACATGAAGCTGTATAGCTTTAGTTTAAGTACAAGTTCAAAACAGATTAATCAGTGGAAAATGTAATTTTCTTTAACCTGTTTTGGTAGCCTAAACAAAAGTAAATCTTACTTCAATAATTTTGCTCTCTGCTGAGATCAAATATGTAGTATGTCTTGGCTTAGTTCAATGTTCACTTCAATAGCAGATTTAAGATGAACCAGTTCTACCCTACATGCAGAAAAATTCTAATCAGACCACTCCTTTTTGCTAATATCCCTTTTAACTGTCATGTCTGTAAGGAATGAAGTCATATCCTCAATTTATTAAGAGCTAATTATCATCTGTTTGGATACTTTAGTAAAGAAAAAAATGACAAAAGTTATTTCTGATAACTCAGTAGTTACAAAGAGGTCTTTAAATTGCTCATGACATTATACATAAAAGCAGAAAAAAACCCACACAAATTTCAAAGTCATTATCAAGCACATTTAAAGATAAGCTAAGAGCATTTCACAAAAGCAGTAAAAATATGCCAATAACAGAATGTTTCCATTAGTGTTTAAACCAGACTAATTAGTGGACTTTGTTTTCATGAGATAAAGATGCACAATTTGTCAGAACAGACCAACTGAAAAGAAATTTAACTTACTTGTTACTGACTTCTGAAACAGGCCTAAATAGGCCTTAAAACCAGTTAAATAACTGGTTTCTTTTGATTCAGTAAAGGTGGTCACAGAGCTAAGCTGCATAAAATATTTTTATCCCTTAATAAGGGTTTCCAGACTGGTAGCAAAATGAAGCTGTCTTCAGTGCCAGGTTCATCTGTGTTGTGGTTGTGAGAAACAGGTTTAAGCAGCTATGTCCCACCAGGAGAAATGTCTCTTCCTATTATCAGCTCCTTCAAGAAAAGCAGGGGAAAAGGGGCAGGGATAGGAAATGGGAAAAGATGGAGGAGTAAACTTTTCCAATGCTAGTAGCTCAAAACCGAGTAACAATAAGGGAATGCTGTAGCTTTCAGCATGCTGGAGAAAAAGAATACCACAGCCATACCAAAGCACACGTAGTTGCCATTTATTCTGGCTGTACCTGGACATGTGTGAATCAGAACACAAGTCAGTCACCACATACCATTCACCCAAACTACTGAATGAACTATTTTTTTCCCCCACAAGAAATGAAAATTAAGCTCTAAAGAGACAAAGCACTGGCTTTGAAATCGTACTTCTGTACTTCAAAACACAGGTATGGGATTAACATTTACACTGTTAAATCCAAGAGTTAGTAAGGGCAAAGTCTAACCTTTGAATTTCCATTCAAAGAGTAGACTGAAAGAACACCGTATTAAAATACCTCAAAACAAGGTATTGTCATCAACTGAGTAATGGTTTTCCAGTAAGCTACAGTACTTTCAAAAATACCATGTGGAACTATTACTGTTTGCTTATGTCTGAAACTTACTCGTATGTTTTTCTAGGATATTCTTTGAAACACCTGAAAGCATGGAAGAAATCTGCAGCAAGTTTCCTGCTTTTATCAAACTTAGTCCCAGCCCTGTATACAGGCTTGATTCACCAGCGAGGCTCTCTGGATGTTATGAGTCACATACAGCAACTCTGTAATAACTCTTACCAATCACAAGCTTTTGTCTTCATCATGATGCCATGCCACTCTACTCCATTTTACAGGTATTAAAATAGTTAACAGCATACATACTAAAATCCATACACTTAAGTAGAAGTTAAGATTATTTTTCTTCCTAAGCTTAATAAATGGAGGTGGATAGATACATACAGGAAGAGTTTTGATTTTTCATACAGTTAATACGGAATGAATAGGGGAAATACGCCAAATGCTTACATCACAGAATAGAATTCAGCATCTAAGCTTTATTCAGTTTTTGCAAAATAGCTTTGTATGAGGATAGGCAGCAAGTCTTATGACTTCTGAAAGTAATTCATACTGCTTCATTAGGGTAGCAAAACTAAAGACTAATTGTTACAGTCAACATGTATTAATTTCACCTTCTGCTGCTAGAGTGAAGAAATGTAATTACAACATACAGTGACTGAAGTTACTATTCCAAAAAGTTTGCAATAGATCCTGGCACATAAAATGTTAAAGCAAATATGGAAGAGTACCTTTTTAAGAAGCTGATGTTACACAGATGGTATTTTTATAAGATAAATCTATTTTCTGTCAACTGCTAACAACGTAGTCACAGCAGTTTGGAGCTGAATCCACTTGTTCTAATTTTGCTTTCATATGAACTACAGAAGGGAAGAAAATATGACTTTTGGGGTAGAAAAAGTAATTACTCAATTTTGGTTTTGACTGAGGTATCTTTAAGTGATGAAACATTTTGAATCTTAGATGTTTGCCAGTTTATTCTGAAGTGTTTATTTTGCTTTTCTCCCTAGTCATGTTCACTGTCCTCTAAAAATGAGATTCCTTCAGTGTCCCCCAGACCTAACCGGAAATGAGAGCTATATTGATGAAGCAGATTTATTTTACTCTAATCCACTCGGCTGGCTCAATAAGGAGTTTTACAATGATACATTACTACCCAGTCACTTGATCTTCTTCAGTGTGCTAGAACAGGTATGGTAACTGCAACATGAAACTAGTTTTGAAGTCAAGTTAAAAATAAATTGAGGGAGAGTTATAGTTAAGATTTTATAGAATTGTTTTCCACAACTTTTTAAAACACAGCTCAAATGAAAATTGAACCGTCTAGTCCACAACAGATACCGTTCCAGTGATATATGCTTAACATTCATGTATTCTCTGTGAATTCTACATGCCATAAAGTAATGTTTCACGGAATTCTCCTCAAGGCATATTAAAAGAAACACGTCTGTCCCCAGAACCATACACTTTTAAGTAAGCAACAGTGACAAGCAAAACCACCTGCAGTTAGAGCACCTTTTCCCCCTCAGTTCTTTTATCAAGTCAATGTTCTCAAACAACAGACAGCATCAAACAGGATAAGTACCTCTTCTTCTAGCAGTCTTTCCTAAAATAAAGGATAAAACTTCCAGGGGACAATTGAATTGATGGTTTTCAGAAGACTTTGGAACACTGTTTTGATGCTCCCCAACTATACTTTCTGACTGTGGAAACTAATGTATGTTCATTTACAGGAAATATCATCATTTCTAGCTTTAAGGGACTATGAGAAAACAGCCACTGTCTTTCACACACATGTACCTCAAGGACGAGTTGGAAGCCACATTTATGTCTACAGGAGAAAAACCTGAAATTAATCATACCTGAAGATCAGTTTCTAGACTGAAAGGTACCTAATGAAATCAGTTTTGCATAGCAGTAATATGCTTAGAAGATCTTGTACTGCAGAAAGGAGAGAGTAGCGAGTCTGAAACCGGGTAAGTCAAGTGGGGAAGTGATTCGGCAGCCATTGGCTGTCTGGAAACACATAAACCTCTTCCTGAAGGCAACTTCAGTAGCAGTATGGCAGGGTGGGGGTGTTGACCTACCTTACAACACTAGAAAACATCAGGAAGACCAAAGTTACTGTATGACTACTAAAACAGTAAGAAATTAGACAAGACTGGACCATTTTTATAGAACTGTACAGCTATGCTAGGTTTGTTTTATAAATAAAGACTTTTACCCACAATGTCTCTTTATTTTTCTTCTACAATATGCAGATATGCAAGACATTTCAAGTGCTTAAATCAGCAAACTGATTAGAATGCAGCACAGCAAATTCTTCACAATTCAACAGGCTTTTGAACCCCCCCCAAAGACAAGAAGCAAGTATAAGATTACAAAACACTAACAAATATATTACCATAACGTAGACCTATTTTTTGAAGGATGAGATGAAGTTAGTATATCAAACACTGGAGTTAATTATTGGTACATTATGCAGGACTCAAGCTTGAACTACACTAATGGAATGCAATTAAGCATATTTTTCATACACAAGTCATTGCATGCCTAGTTTCTGCAACAATACTGCTTGCATCCAAACTATCATCACTTCCAAAGAACAGTTAAAGCAACAGTACAGAATATGCAAATTAGAAAGCTTGACTTCTGCCTTTTAACAAAAATGTGTAAAAATCAAATTAGAGAAAAAACTTGCATCTTGCTGCTTTGTTGAAAAACAATTAGTTTCCGGAGAGGATGTGAATTATTAATTCTAATCTTATTTTTACCATAAATTACTCAATATTTTGGATCAAAGGGTAATTGCCCCAATTCTATTTCAAGATTTGCCATGTGTCTTCCGTTAGTGCGACCATGTTTATGCCATTTACCTTCTCTTTTATTACGGTGGTGGTACTTCTGAGCTTGTTTTTCATGTCTGGAATTTTCAGTTTGTGTAAAAGAAGGCCTTTTAGGTCGACTGCAAGGAGTAAACAAAAGCTTTATTACTACTCTTACAAAAGCATCTCTTAAAAAGCATTTTGAAACACAATTACATTGTCAAGAACAGCTTTTAACATGCTGAGGTTGACTGAAAAGGAAAGAAAATTACTATTAAGTAGTAATCCTTTCTCTTGTAAGAAAAATGGGAGGAGTAATGATTTAAATCATCAATAAGATGGTATATTTAAAAGAAATCCTTTCTAAAAATAAAAGTGCTCTGCAGCTGGTTGCCCAAAGTTCTTTTTAGAATAAAGCCAAGTAAACAGCTGTTTGATTATCCCTACGGTGATGCTTGAGTGAGGTCTCAATCTATTTTTCAGTTGTTCTATTACATTCTGCTCTATAAAAATAACAAAAACTTTACAGATCCTTAGGAAAGTGTGCTTTCTGTAAACATGGGCACTTCAGAGGTTTTCATGTGCTATACAGAATATTTATACACATATCAACTTATGTGTTTGCCAAAAGTACACATTAAAAAGGCTACTTGGTAGCTGATAATAGTATCATCCTCATGGTTCAACTTTTAATAAGAACAAAGTACTACCTCACATAATGTTTAGTAACCCCAAAGTATTCAAACTTCCTGCTGCAATAAAACACATGAAATACTAAACAGTACACGTCCAAAAGAGAAACCTGACTGAACAACTGCACCTTTATCTAAATACTAAATATGCTTTGCACTGAATACCAGCACAGGGAAAAGTTCTATTGATGTGTACAAGGACAACTTCTTGTGTATTATAAATTAGTTAATAGATCACATGTTTTCTTACCTGATCAGAATAAACATTAGCACAAGAGACTACATAGCCAATTTTGTAATAGCAATGATATTAAAAGCCACATAAAATACCTAAATAAGTGTTCCAGAAAGAGAAATTTCCACACAATATATTAAGGTGGCTTGCTTAATTTTCTTTCACCAAAGTCTATGCAGTAGAAACAGTCCACCCTATCTAGCTCCGTTGGGCCAGCCAGGCAGCAGACCACAGCTGCTCTGTAGCAACCCTGAGAATACCATTAGATACGAGAAAGTAACATAGGAAACAATTCATGCCAAGGACCTTTGTAAGCAAGTCTGAACAAAATTTAGTCAGGGTCAGGATGTGAACGAAAGCCTGCCAATTGAGTAGCTCTGCTCTGGGCGTACAGACTTACTCACTATTATACTCGGCTACAAGATAGCAGTGTAATTCCTGAAAGCCAGCAGGGAATATACCTGCCGGAACTGGACTTTGAGACTGCTCAAATATACCCAAAAACCATCTCAGTCAGGGAACGACAACATGGAAGTCCTAGTTAATGCTTCTTCTGAGGTAGTTATTCATTCCATCAGCTAGGCAATCATAGCTGTTCAGTCCGAAGTAATCCTACTTGCAGTTACACTGTTTTCTAAGGAACTCAGTAGAAATCTTAGCTTGTGCCATGTAGAGTGGACCTGTAGCGCCTCGCAAAGTAACATCCCTCCCCCAACATTTATATATAAGGTACTACAGATCCACTTTATGTAACACAGTCTAGTATTTCCATTGAGTCCTTCAGAAAGTCTTCTAGCATGTGTGTGTATATATATATACACACACACACACATGCTAGAAGAGCACCTATTAGAACAAGGGCACTAGTTGTCTTTACAAAGACTACTTCATTGTGTTAACAAGTTCAGGAAACATGGAAACAAACCTGGGTCCATATTGGGGTGAGTTATCATAATGAAAGTAGTATCTGTAGATGTATTTGTCCAAATCCTCAAAAACCTTTTCATTATTTTGGTATTCCTTCATATCTTCCAGGTAATCCTTGACATCATTAACAAAATCAGTGAACAGCATCTGGTCATGGATAAATACCCCATTATGAAAAAACTTATTGACGAAATTTTCTAGTTCTCTCCAGTGATGAAAGTTATGTACAACTTGTTGCAAATACTTTTTCATTAGCCGATTAAATTCATCCACCCTGATAGGATCTGATACTCTGTTAAAGAGACTAATGAATTCTTTATGAGCACATTCAAAAATACCAGAGCAGCCCTTCAGGACAAACTGATGTTTTCTATTACACAAACGATCAAGACATTTCTGTGAATCTGTATCTTTTTGAAATGTTGTAAATTGATGTTTTCTTCCATCTTTGAATTCTTTTGGCATGTTAGGTGCCCTGTAATGCATTTGCTTCGGAGTCTCATAAGAGTTATGTTCTCGGTAAAAAGTTCGAGCTTTCTTGTTTGCCTCGTGTCTTTTGTCATTTGACAACTTCTCCTTTTCATCAAAGATGTTTTTTGTGGTATCTTTGAAGTGTCTGAATGTAGACTTTACAGAATCAGAGAATTTCTTCAGGTTTTCTTTCACTGCTTCTTTAGCCTGCTTAATCTTTTCTTTATGGTGTCTTACAAACTCTTTCGTGGAATTTTTCATAGCATCAAAAGTTTCTTTAACCGAACCAAGAAATGATTCCTTTGATTTCTTCTTAGCCTTACTTTGCCCTTTAGCACCTTTCTTTTGTCCCTTTTCATTCATTTCTTGTTTTTCAGTTTGGTCTTTCACTTCAACATACAACTTCTCCCATAAGTCAGAGCGCTGTTGCTCAAAGTTTAGCTTTTTTTCTAGTTCTACTAGTCTTCCTCGCAGAGTTTCTATTTCTTGATTTTCTCTTAATGTATCATCATCATTAGCATTGTCAGGTGTTTGATGAGAACTTAACTGTTCCATCTCTTTTTTTAGAGCTTCTGTAACATGACGTTCTTTGTCCAGTTCTCTCCTTAACATCTGTGCCTCTGCAAAGAGTGTTTCCTTTTGCTTAAGAAAGTTGTGGTTTCTTTGCTTTTCCTCTTCCAAATGTTCCCTTAGTTTCTGATTTTCCATTACAATAGACTCAGTGCTAGTACCTTTATCTTCTAAGTTTCTAATTTGTTGTCTTAGCTTCCTTAATTCTTCCTGAAGTGAGGCCAAAGCTTTTTCTTCCTTCTCTAGAGATTCTCTCAAGTGCTGATTTTCTGCAGCAAGACTTTTTTTTTGAGATTCAAAGGATTTCTTCTCCACCTCAGTCGAAGTCAAACATGTGGCAAGATCTCCCTTGAGTGATAATACAAACAGAAAACAAGCGAAAATACTACAGTTAGAATTGTTACAATTTCAGCTAGAAAGATAAAAGCCCAAGGTAGCCCAGACAGAGTTTACTTGTCATTTTGGATGCAGTGACACATGTTGCAGCAAGATGCAAAAATAGAGCTAGTTTGTTTATCTCAGATATATGCACAAACACTTTCTTGGCAACAAAGACCACGTGAGAGGCTCCCCCTTCCAAACCAAAGGTCATTCCCCCTCGCCTGTATCAGTTTAACTAGCTGAAGGGTAGTAAACCGGGTACATGAATTGATCCATCTTAAAAGGAAGTGAAAAATGTGCATGTCTGCTGTTGATTTACATTCAGCAAACTGGGTTTACAGATTACAAACCCAATACATTAGCAGAAGCAGGGGCACTCAATAGTTGGGAACAGGAAGTGATTTTGAACTAAATTTGCTATTGAAAATATGTGTTCACGTAACTGTATCCTAACATGAAAGGATCTCCTCAGTCTCTTGGCATCCTTGAAAAATGCTAGAACTAAGCAGCATTTATACATAATTCAATTTGTTATCAGCAACATAAAAGAAAACTTTTAAAAAAAACGCACACACAAAGCATTCCCTAATCTTCTCTCTGAATGATCTAACAGTAAAAAACTAAAAGTACAGGTTAAATATTAAAAAAAAAAATCAACCACTGACAATTTAGAAAGCAAATTCATAAAACCTGTAGGTTCAACCTATAATAGGTTTTTACCAGCACATTCTACTTCAGCTGTCTGAAGCAGACAACCTGGCATTATGTCATAGGGAAAGATACAGTCTCTGCATCCAGATAAATCCTAGACCACATATATAAAAAACAGTATGCATTCCAATAACAAATTTGATCAAAATACAAAATCTTTGTCAAGAATTCAGGGAAAA